GTTCAGTAACAAATTTAAGTTGTTAATTAGTTCGTAATACGCTACTTAACTTAAGTTTAATACATAAATTTAAATTAAAACGTAAAAACGTAAACAACAAAATTAAAAGTAAAAAAGAAAAAAAAAAAAAAAAAAAAAAAGAAATGAGAAACGAACAAATAAAAAAAAACCGATCACCAAATTCAACTGGCTCAAATGTTACAAGGCTCAACGAACGTTTTGACCTGACCTGCATTGAGTCTAACTTAAGACAGAGCAGAGCGTGTACCCTTAGGCAGACGCTTTCGTCTAACTTTGTCGGTAACCTTGCGAAACACTGGACATAAAGGATGTCTCTCTAAAGCCAAACTTTTTTTCCGGGAAAAAGAGGAGAACTGATGTCAATATGACCGAAGAAAATCCGTGATTTCACCGAACTACAACTCTGACGGAAAAACGAAAAAAACAAGAGCAAGAGCAAAAAGGGAGGAAATTGAAAATCAAGAATGTAAAAACTAAAAGGTTTATTCTCAGATATCAGATGTATGACCTTGAACGGTATGAAAAATTTCCCAAGTGGAAGGTCTTCTACTAGCGATGACTTTTCGGTTACTTCATTTAAGTTTCACCTCTATACTCGTTACTAGGACAAGGGTGGGATATAATGGCAAACTCGTATTTGGCAACGTAATGAACAAATGTGGAGTTGCCTCGTTGACATAAGTAACATGATCGATCATTACCAGAAACCTCAAGAATGGGGCTTTAATAAAAAATACAAACAATTTACGGTAAACGACCGAATTGTTCATTCAAAAGAAAGATATATGGAAATCGTTTGCTTCTCTTCTTTATTTCGGTCAGCGTCTGTCCACTTTGTAGCTCACTCAACCACTCCGACAATTGCATGTACGTTTTGTTTACATCCTGTAGCAACCCGAGAAAACGTCCGAAAGAGGGGTATTAAATTTCAATCTTTCAGTTCATGATACCGAGAGGGACTCAATAGGGTTGGGCTTGTTTGTGTGGTGTGATTTTTTGTTATAAATAGGGCCCGCTTTCCCACTATTGAAACCACAAGCAATTGCTCGAGAAGCATTAAAGCCTTATTGATCGAGTGTAGTTTCTTTACTCTTGAAAAGATAACCAATAGTCTTTTATTTTAATTTGCATCGTTTTCCTCATTTGCAAATTCCTTTTTACTTTTGTTTTTCACTTTTTATATGACATCTTTTGTCAACAATTGATCCTTTAATTGTTCATTTCTAAGTTAAGTAATCCATTTTTATCCATTCATTCATCCGTTTTTTTGATTCGCATTTTTTTACTTTTTTGTCTACATCTCTGATATTCCTCACTTCAACAAATTATCCGCCTTTTTCCAAGATTTCAAGATGAAGTTGTTTTCTTCCGTTTCTCTTTTTTATGCCTTATTCTCCATTTTAGCTTACAGCTCTATTCCTTCTCTTGCAGCTCCTCTAACCGAGCGTTCTGATATCAAACAGAATGAAGAGTTTTCTGTAATGAGCCTCCGCTCAGGTAACATTAACGTTCATTTCCATTCCTTTTATGTTGGTGACAACAATAACGTCTATCTCGATCCTTATGATAATGGAAATCAAGCGGCCAAATTCACTTTAGCAGATACTTATTTACTACATGAAGGATTTTCTGCTCACCTTGGCGATAATGGTGCGTTATATTTTCAACGTAATGATGAGGGTTCTGTTCCTGGATTTGCTTTTGGAGAACGCATTGCTTCTGGCTATGCTCTAGTTCTTAATGGACAAAGCCCCGTAGCTTGTCCTATCGAAGAGAATTCCTCTGTTTACTCTGTCTTTTTTGGTAAGGGAAATGGTAATAGTAACTGTGTTGGCTTTACAGCCCTTGCACTTCCAAATAATCCTGCTTCTTCTTCTTCTTCTTCTTCTACTGCAGCCCCTTCCAATGCTAAAGTATAAGATTTTGTTCCCATTGGAAGCAAGAAGGCGAAAAAAGCTAATGGAAAAGATGTAAAAGAAGCCAATGACGGACCTCCCATTTATCCTAGTGCCGTTCGTTTTTTCAACTCTTCTTGTCCAAACACTAATTATGGCGCAGTATTATCTCCTATTGTTTATCAAAAGCAAGATGATCGCGTCAATCCCATTTTTAGTTTTGATTCTCCTCGGATTGACGAAAATGACTGTCAACTTCACTTTCATATTGATAAAAAACTTGATGGCCCCAATGGCATTGGAGAATTCATGCTCTAGATTCTTACATCTGTCACCAATATTTTCACTAATTGGGCATATTACCCTGCCCGCGAAGCTGAAATCGGTCGCTTTAACTGCCTCTCCAATGGTTCTTCTGATTACACCGCGAACATTAATTGCCCTTACCGTTACCTAACTGTCTCTTATGAGTTGTCCGCCATTGCTGATAAGTCGTACCTGAAATACTAACAAGGGACTAACCCCATTGAAGGTCTCTACTTGACTGTTTAAACAAATTATTCTAATTACAACCTTTAGCAATAGTTTGTATTATCATTTTTTCCAGATTATGACAATAACTAAATATTACCTTTTGTTTTTATATATATTAAAAAGTGTTTATGTATTCTTTATAAGGTAGAGGAGTATTCTTTATTTGATAGTTTGAAATTATACGCTAGCTTACTTCCTTTGCCAAACTTGGACGGCTATTTGTAGGAATTGTGTACATCGTTTTACATTTCGTTTACGATTACAATGCATAAATTTAATTAATAAAGTGGTCTTTTTTTATATGATCTTAAGGGGCGAAACCAATCCAAACCAGACTAAAGGTGTGTATTATAACGAGAAGCAGAGCATAATACTAGTTAACTTTAATTACAGATGTCTACGGCCATACCTAGGCGAAAACACCAGTTCCCGTCCGATCACTGCAGTTAAGCGTCTGAGGGCCTCGTTAGTACTATGGTTGGAGACAACATGGGAATCCGGGGTGCTGTAGGCTTTTTTTTCCTCTCTTCCTTTTTTGCTTTCCTTTTTCTCACATCTAGTAGAGTGCAGATCTTATAAAATAATCATAATTTATTAAAAGCATTATTTTAAATATCTCCTGTAGCTACCGTTAACGTCGACCGTATAAATGTTTACAAAAATTATTCATTTCTTATGTATAATAAGTTTCAAAGGACATTTTAGAGTCAAACAGTTCAAGAAAATAGAAAAAAAAAGAAAAGAAAGTATAAAATAAATTCGTTTGCTCATTTGCTCACTTCTCTTTTCAAGTAAAAAAGATATAGAAAAAAAGCCCTAAATGCAAACGGAATATTCCTTTTTATAAAACAAAAACAAGGTCAAGGCTTCTATTGCCATTCTCTCATTATATAAGAAACCCAATAGTAATTCCCTTTATATTGTACGTTTGAATGAGATCTGTAGCCATTCACCACACCAACATAAAAAGAGCCCTCCATTCCACCTTTGACAAGAATATAGCTTCAAATATCAAAAATTAAAAATTAAAAGATTTTTTATTGGCGCAAGCAAGTCATTTTTCTTCCACCACTATTATTATTTTTAAACTTTTCCGTACTTACATTTCTTTTTTTATCGTTGCTGGTCGACGTGAAAGACTGTCCGCAAAATCTAATCGTGAAATCCAGAATGCATCTTTGGTTTTATTACGTCCTTCAAAATACATAAAACAAGGGCAATGATGCAGCAAATCATTGTAAATTGTTGTGCTTTTCGAATGGCAAAAGTTTAATCACCTAATACAATCTT